AAAAGAACAATTCCACCACGCAGCCAGCGCAGTGGTTTCATTAATGAGGTTCTTGGCATAAAAGTTAGCTAGAAGAGATAGAAATAAAACACACAGACTCAGTTACCTTATTTCTATTGCCAGGTCCGAGACGGCTCCCCTCTCTGGTTCCCTCCTCTAACCGCCCAGCAGGGCAGCAAGGATTACTCAGGGCTAGCAGGAGAGAGAGAGAGAGAGCACACGCCTGGGAGTAGCTTTTTATTATTGGGGAACAAGAGATTCAGGGGAGAATTCCATCCAATGAAGGTTGAGGGGGGACCGAACTCCAAGGTCAGGGTCAGTGATTGGGCCCCCGGGGTCAGTGGTCAGGCACACCCCCACACGGATGGGCTCTCTCATCAGGAAAGGGCCAGGAAAGTTCCGACACAGCCAGAGGCCTCAGACCCTAAACGGGAGTCGCCCAGTCACGTGTCAGAATGGCTTCCCACAGAACAAGTATCACATGACTCCATTTACACGAAGTATCCAGGGTCAAAATCATAAAGACAAAACACAATGGTGATTGCCAGTGCTGGAGAAAAGAGGAAATGGGAGTTCTTATTTATTGGGTACAGAGTTTCAGTTTTGCAAAATGAAAAGATTTCAGGAAATTGGCTGCCCAGCATCAGGAATGTAACAATGTAACGGTACCACCAAAAATGGGCAAATGACAAACTTTATGCAATGTGTATTTTGCCATGATTTTTTAAAAATTGTGGATCTGATGTCAAAAAGCTGGATGGGATATAGACAATTCTGCTTTTAAGACCAGTTTACCCTGCAGAAATGGGACAGTCTGAGGGCCTGGACACTGTGACAGCAAGGCTCCTCAGTGTGAGGGGCTGGGAGTCCATGGTGGCTGGAGTGGACCAACCCAGGACAGTTTGGGAGGAGCCTGTGAATTCTCAGGGGTTATCCTGGTGGCCTCAACAATGAATTGATCCACACAGAACTTAACCTTCCCTGTGAAGCATAAACAAGCTATCCTCTGCGCTTTCAGCCATCTATAGGGCTACTATTGGTCCTGGTTTGCCTGAAAGAGCTTCCAGACAGGCAAGAAATGTATACATGCTGATGCTCCCTATAATAGGCTGAATAATGCCCCTAAAAATACCCTGTTCTCCTTGAGCTCCATTTGACTGGAGAGAAAGAAATAACAAATAAGTCTATGAATATGATGCTAGAAGGAGGTTAGTACTATGGGGGAAAATTATCAGGACCCAGGGTGCAAGGAGATTGCATTTTTAAATAGGGTGGTCAGCTGGTATCACCAAGAAAGTGGCATTTGGGAAAGAAAAAATGCAGGTAGAAAATTTTACATTAAAATAACCCTTTGTTGCTTTTTCCTTGTGTGAGAATAAATTCTTGACTTTGAACATAGACTTCAGGTTTTTGGTAGTCTGGATCCCCCTTTTTTTTTTCCAGCCTTCTAACCAGCACAAAGTCCAGTACGTGCACACACACACACACACACACACACACACACACACACACACAGAGTTTACATACACTGGCCAATCTCAAATTCATAGCATACATATAAAATAATAGGGGTATCATGCTAGAAAACACAAGAGGTTAACTGATTGGAACTGCCTAGAAAACATGCAGAAGTCCTGGCCAGAAAGTGTTCCACTCCACCCTCAAGCTCTCTTTACCACTGATTATCGGAGCAGTTACAGGTGGTCCATTCTATCGCTCACTGTACAAATGAAGAAAACAGGGCCCAGAGAGAGTCAGTGGCATCCTTGGAGTCGCACAGCCTTTCTGCACATAAAGGTCAGATATTCTGCAGGAGTAGCATTTGGTGCACGTGGTCTTTCTGTGAGACCTCAAGTTCCTCTATTACCTCAGAGGAGAAAGAACTGGTTCGATTTCCCCTCTACCAACTGACATGAGATCCATGCCCAGGTTAAAGGGTCCCTCTTTGATCTCTGGGACACCTGAGGCAGCTTCTTCTCTCCTGACTGGGAATTCTCCAGGTGTGTACTGGAAAGACAGCAACAAACTCTGCTGTTCCTGGAGAAAAAAGGGGACTTTGCAGGCTGTCAGAACAGAATCTGGAAAGAATCTCTTACTATGGACAAAGGCTGTGCACGCTATGGTGGGAGCCTGTGATCTAGGACTCTGTATTCTATACTCAGGTCCTCTGCCTGGGGACCAGAGGAGGAGGCTCAAAATAAATGGGGTGCTTTAGGATGGTAGAGCTAGGTGTTGTAACTATAACACCCATGAGGAAGACAGAACTAAGTGTAAAGGTGATCGGATGGTGACCAGGCCAATAAAAATAGTCAAATGAATGAGGCTGTGTGGATCCTTCCAAGTACACTGTGGGAAGTTCACTGCTTCGCAGGTGAGGCCCAGGGAGGTAAAAAGAAAAAAAAGAAAAAATACACCCCTGAGCCCAAATTCCTCCCCTGCTCTTGGGGCCCAGAAGGTTCAAGAGTACTCTGTTCCCCACTGCCCCTGCCGTATTCTTTCCCTGAGGCTGCCCCATTCCCAGTCTGCTCCTTAACCTCCTTAGCTTCCACATTGAGACTCTTAGAAGCTATGTGACCTTGTCCAAGTGGTTTGACCTTTTGCAAATGGCTTTCTCTCAAATGACAGAAATACTTGCCACTAATCATAACAATGGCTACCATTTATTGAGAAAGCTCCCACTGCCAGGTTTTCTGCTGGGAATTTAACATGTGATCCCATTTGAGTCTCACAACACCCCTATCAGAAAACTGAGGCTCAGAAATGTAAAGCTGTTTACTTAAGATCCCACAGCTAACACTTAGGGGCTCCGGATTTGAACTGAGGTCAGACTCCAGACTAAAGGTCTCTTCTAATACTGACCCTGGCAAGGTTTCTGGAAAGCGCACCTTTACACATAGGATGCTTGGCCAAAAAAAGGATTACTAAACATATTTAAAAATTAAAGACTCTTCAAAGTCCTTTACTGCCCCCTCAGAAAAACTCCCCAGCAAAAACTGCATCAATGCAATGAACAGGCAATTCACAAACAGGGAAAAGATGCCAGAAAGAAAAAAAGTTTATCACCCTAGAAATCAAACATACAAATTACTCTCATCTGAGAAGATGATGAGAGGACAGCCCCCAGGAGACACTCAACCCAGGCACCCTAATCTTTGACTTCCAGCCTCCAGAATTGTGAAAAATAAAGTCCTGTTCTTTATAAGCCCTCAGTCCATGATATTGTCACAGTGGTCCAAACAGTCAAAGACCACGTATTCCCTCTTTAAGGGAAACCCCAAATTTGTGCAATAAACGAAATGTAATCATAGCGCGCAGGCGCACACACGCAAAAGAAAAAGGAAGAGAAGGGCAAACCAATTTCATGCATTATGCTTTGCTTATCAGATTGGAAAAGGTAGTAAGATAATTTTGAAGAACAGATACATTACAAATCTGGGGCGTAACTGCTGTAACCTACTCCTAATTTGTTGCTATTACGTTCCTAGCACGGACCTTTTAATTTTCAACTCGTGTGTCATTCTTCGCTTGGTTTTTGACAGCGAGCAATAAACACTTTAATGATAATTGCCGAGAGTCAAGTGCAAAACAGTCCGGGGCGGAACCCAACGTGGGCGGCTCCCCCCTTGCTGCCGACTTCAGTGACACCTGCCGCGCGGGCGGGGACCCGGGGTCCGCGCGTGGGTCCAGAGCAGCTGGCACCACTGAGGTCGCGGCGTGGGGCGCACGGGGACCACAACTCCCAGGCGCCCGCGCGCCGCCCGTCCGGGACCACGTGACCCGCGCGGCCCGGGTCGGTATCGCGGCGGCTGCGGGTCGGAGTAGCCTCCGGGAGACCCGAGCAAGCAGACGCGGCCTTGGGCCGCCCGCGCGTTCAGTATGGCGGTGAGTCCCGGGCACCACTCCGAGAAGAGGACGCGGGTAGGCGGGTGGGGCGGGGTCCCGCGTTGCAGCTGCCGCGCACCTCGAGATCCTCGCCGCCCCTGGCCCCGAGCTAGTGAGAGAATGTGTTGGTGGCATTGGCACCCACCTAACAGGGTTGGGGGACATGACAGGTGGGACTGGCAGTGTTTTTGCGGGTTTCTGTTTGTCTCTCCTGCTGGGAGTCAGTCCAGCCAGGACAGCGCGGCTGCAGCGCGGCCAGCCGGTGCGGGCGCAGCAGGTGAGGACCGCGGAGACAGGGGCCTCAGCCCCGAGCTTTGGCCAGAGCCCGGGGACGGGATAATGTTACTTGGGGTATTGCAGGAGGCTCCCACCAAGGGGAGTCCCCGCGCAGTGCAGCCTGCAGCTACTGCGCACTTAGCGCACATCCCGGCCCGGGCTATGCAGTTGGCAGGTTCCCCGTCTGTTCAAAATAAACCCAACTACTACTCTTCCTCCCTACACTGTGAGTTAGAAAGTAGCGCTTCGGCCGCTCTTTTCTTGGTAGGGTTCACCTGGGCTTGAGAGAATGACAGCTTGCAAAACTCTGGTCTTTGAAAAAACAAACAAACAAAAAATCATATCCCTTTCTTCATCCCATGAAGAAATCATAGAATAGAAGAGTCAGGAAATCTATACAGACCTATACGGTCGACCCCCACCCCCACCTCCTATCCGTTCCCTAGAAGGGGAAATAGATGGGAAGTACTAGAAAAAGTTTCCCAGCCAGTCAGCGATGGCATTGGGACCCTCCTCTCCCTCGGAAGCCTGTGATTGGACAAATGAAGGAGCTTTTCTCAAAGTGTAAGTAACCCTAAATAAGAAAGTAGGGAAGAAAACAAGGCCCACGGATTGCACCCTCCTTTGCCTCAGTCCCTCTCCACCCAGGGTGTGGCCCTGAATAAAGCACAGATAAATTAAACTGCCAGAGACTCAGATTCATCCCCAGTGGGAAAACAAGATTAAGGCCCTGCCTTTTGTATATCTGAGCACAAAACCCTTTGACTGAAAATTACAGCCACGAGTCTCCTCAGGTCAGGGTGTGTGAATTTGAATCCTTTTCTTTAGCAAAAAAAAAAAAAAAGAGTGGGCTAGGTCAGGTGACTTTCAAGTCCTTGACCACACCCCCACACCCCCCACACCCCAGATTTCCCAGAGAAGTGGAACTGATGTGGCTCAGGGCACTTCCAGCTCTGAACACACTGTACAGTACCTATCTTCTCCACTGCCTCCTACTCCTACTTCAGACCTGTCCTAGCACCTGCTCCCAGCATTCCCTGCCAGGTGTCCCCCAGGCAGCTTTGCTGTCCCCCCACATTGTGTCTTCCCTGCCTCTGACTACATACACCCTGTTATAATCACCTGTTGGCTTCTGTCTCCCCTGATCCATGAGGGTTCAGAACTTTTCTTACTCATCTGTGTATCTCCAGGGTCTGTGTATCCCTAGCATAACAAAAGGGAATTTTGCTTGAATAAATTTTGCTGTCTGTAGGTGTTCTGGTCTGTGACAAAAGGTATGCAGCTGTTTTGAGCTCCTGAGGTGGCTGGCCCATGCCCAAGGATGACAGAAGGAACCAGTTGTGGAAACTTCCAAAGTGATTAATTATCCACTGGAGACATTCCATTCATGCCAGCTGCTTTACCAACTGAACTCAGAGAAGGAATGATGGGCAACCCCCCCCTTCTCATACCCACAGATAGAGCTCGAAGCTTCTGTTAGTCTAATGAGTGCAATGCCATGTATAAATGGAGTTTCACAGGCTATTTATGCCCATTCATTTTTGTATATTAATCTTTTGGGAGCATTTTACTGTCAACACATAGCCTTCTGAAATTCTAACAGGAGATATCTGGATAGTGGAATTCAAAATGAGTTTTACTTTCTATTTGGTAGTTTCAGCATTTTGCATTGAGCAAATACCACTTGCATATGAAGGAGATAAAAAGCTAATTTTGTTTTTAAATTCTTCAACATAATTTTTAAATAACTGCTCAGATTTCCATCTTGAAGCTAATATTGTAATTTACCTGACCAGGCAGGAGAACATCGTGGTTCAGATGTTTTGTCAAAATGTGGCCCCACAGACATCTACCCATAAGCACTCAGAGTATTTGCTGAGAACCAACACAGCCTTTCCAGAAAGATGTGTGGTTCTGGGTACTTGATCCCTGAGTGACCTTGGGCAGATCAGTGGACCTTTCTGTGCTTTCCTTGTCAATTTTAAAGGAGTCAATAATAGGCAACTGCAGAGATGTTGGGAGAGTGACTCAGATAAAGGACAGAAGGTGGCAGGCACGGTGCAAGCCCATACAGGCTCTGGGAGAACGCACAGCTGCGTGACTATTTTGTTCAATCAGATATTTTTACATTCCTCCTCCCTCCTGCAAATCCAGGAGCCCGGCCCCTGTGTAGGCACAGGTGGGAGTTAGTGGCACAAGTCACACCCTTTGGGAACTGAAAGGTGTGTTTACTGAGTAAAATGGCCAGCTCTACCAGACCCAAAGCCGCAGTGTCCAGGTCTCAACACAGGGATTGAGACATACATGGACGATAATCCCCCACTCAGCCCACAAACAGGCATATTCATTTTTTAAAAATCTTTTTCTTCATCTTTTACTGGGTTTTCAGGTAGGAGTTGAGTTCAAGCTGGGAGCCTGCCTGCTTCCCAGGGGCCTGTGAAACCCCTGGTGAGGCCAACCCAGGGGAAGAGTTCTGAATCCAGGCCCCACTTTACAAATGAGGAAACTGAGGTCCAAAGGGGTCTTGCCTCAAGTCAGTAGCTCAAGGTCACACAGCTGTTCCTTGTAGAGCTAGGAATGAGAACCAGGATGAGCAGCTTTAGAATCTGTATCCTGACTGCTAGGTTTTGCTGCCTCTGTTCAAGCTGTAACAAAGAGAATTGGAATCCCTTGAAGGGGGCTTGTTAAAATCAAGCATCTCCTCTGCCTCCTGCGCCTCTGCCCCTGGATTCCAGTGGAGGAGTCTGAGGAGGTCCAGACATCTGCATTTTAAATAAGGCCTTGGATATCCTAAGGAGGCACTGCTGTCCCTCTTCTCTAAGCCACTTGCCAGTGTGAGGCACAAGTCTGTCCTGTGTGTCCCAGGCCAGGGCACGTTCCACCACACCCAGTCGCTCACCTGGAACTTAATCTGTGTGGATCCAGGTATAACATTGCCACTCATCCAAACCTGTTTCCCACTCCAGTGTTCTCCCCTTGCCCCTTCCTCTTTGCCTTTAATGTGTTCTAGCTGAGATCTCCTGGGCCCTGAACTTTCTTCAAAATCCCCAGATTGGTTCTTGTCTGCTTTCCTGTTTACTCTATTTGGAGCATCGACTGAGAACAGCCAGACTTCACACAATGTCTTGGACAAATCCCTTTCCCTCTTGGGACTGTCCTTCTTAAATGGGAAATTCAATGGGGTGGAGTGGAGTTGGAGTTGGACTGAGTTTTGCAGAGCTCAGACCTCTGTCCCTTCTTCACCCAGTGACTTATACAGTGGAGTCACAAGGAAGATTTTATTTGCCCGTGTTGTCTGGGGAAAAAAAAAAAAAAGTTGAAAACCAGTGGACCAAAAATTCTCCGAGGATACTTCTACCTCTGACACTTGAGGATTCTAATATTTGGCCTTTGTCTTAGAAGGCAAAGTCTCCCACTGGCTGATCCCAGTGCAGCCACATCTCTTTGGCTGGGTGGCCCTGGCAGTGTCTGCAGGGTGGCTTCGGCTACCTGAGGGCCTTCCCTTCCTTGAGAGGGTGATCCAGAGAGCCTTAGTTTGGCCTTAAGCCTGGCTGGACATTTAAAATCTCCACCCATCTTCCATCTTATCTTCTTTTCTTGGAGACTGGGAGGCTCAGAGTGTCCTGGAGTGCACAGAGCTTGAGAACCAGCAAGCCTCAGCTTTGAAATCCAGCTCTGCCTCTTCCTAGCTTCATGACCTACAGATTACTTAACTGCTATGAGACTAGCTTCCCCAGTTTTCCTTCCTGTAAAATTGGCCTAATTGTCCCTATTACACATAGGACTATTGTGATGCTGACATAAGATAATGGGTTAAAAGCCCTGGATGCCTCTCTGAACAGGGATGGGTCAATAGGCACTGTGTGGCCAGTGCTTTCACTTTCAGGCCTTCCTGTAAGGCCGAGAATGCATACGGGACAGAACCATTATCCCTTCTCTCTAATCCTGGACACAGAGCTGGGCTCAGTAAACAGTGACTGAGTGGGCAGATGTGGTATCCAGATTAAAGACAGCTGCCCCTGCCCTACCCCATGACAAACACCACCAGATCCTAGACCCACCATGACAAAAAGGACCCACGTCACCTTGAGGAGGCCATACTGCAGCTGAGCAGAGGGCTCAGACCCAAGGGTAAGAGGAAATGGTCGCTCCTCAATCTAGTGCTTCACCTTTGGATTTGGAGGTGACATCCCTGCATGGATTAAGGACATTTGGTGACATCCTGAGTCTGGTTGGCCCTGTGAGGGTGGGCACTACCACCTTTCCTTCCATGTGGGACAAAACCAGCTCAGTTACAGCTCCACTGCTGACCAGAGTGGGCCAGCCCCTGCTCCATATGGCCTCAGTTGGCCATGCTGACCTCTAAAGACCCTTTCAATATGTTAAGTCCCATGTTCCTATCTTTCTTGGCCTCCAGAAGAGGATGTTGAAAAGCTTTAGAAGCCAGGGCTTCCAGTGTCCTGAGCCCTCTGTGATGCAGATTCCCTGCTCTTTCAGATGCATTTCATCTTCTCAGACGAGGCTGTGCTTCTGTTTGATTTCTGGAGTGTCCACAGCCCTGCAGGTAAGAACTGGCATGCTTAGACTTGCAGCTGGAAGTGTTCTGACAGAGGCAGAGGAGAACCTGGATTCTCTTCTCTGTGGGCATTTAGGTGAGCCTGACTCCTCAGGCATAAACATTGAGCAAGAACTCTGCATTTATGATTTCATGTGCAGCCACCTCTCTTCTGAGCCTCTGCAGAGGGCTTTATTATCTCACTGATCCTCACAAGAGCTAGGGGAGGCAGCTTCTCCCTCTACCACAGGGAAAGGAACTGAAGCCCAGAGAGGGGACATGGGAGGGTACACAGTCAGTAAGCATCGGAGCCAGAACTAGATCAAGGCCTCCTGTCGCTTCCTGGCACCTCCCTCATCCAGGTTCATTACCTAGCACTGGCTCAGAAGTCCAAAGTGGCAGCTGCAGCCTTGAACCTCAGATGAGATCCCACTCTGAAAAGGAAGAGTATTCCTTTGACTTGAAAGGGTAGAGTTTGAGGGCTGGGGTTGTAGCTGGGGTTGTAGTGTCAGAGTGCTCGCCTAGCACGTGTGAGGCACTGGGTTTGATCCTCAGCACCACAAAAATAAATAAATAAATAAATAAATAAATAAAACAAAGGGTATTGTGTCCCATCTACAACTAAAAAAGTTTAATAAATAAATAATATTAAAAAGCAGACTAGAACTAGCCACAATGCCCATCATTGCAGGTGTGGATCAAATAAATCATAGTCATCTCTACAGTGGATTGCCATTCCAGTTAACTGTTGCTAGGCTGTGGATTAGAACAATAGTCATTTTATTATTCTCTCTCAAGGTTCTGAGTTCACTGGGCTCAGCTAAGTGTCCTCATTCAAGGGCACTCGTGCATGCGGTATAGTTGGATGGTGGCTGCAGCAGTTTTCTTGAGGACTCGCACTCTCCTGTCTAATGGTCGATGCAGGTTGATCTGGGGCTCTTGGCTTCCTTGTGGCAGGGTGGCTGGATTCTAAGAATGAGTGTTCCAAAAGAGCAAGGGAGAGGAGCATGGGGTTTTTAAGCCCTAGCCTTGGAAGTCACAGCATTACTTTCACGTTATTGGTTGAGGCAGTCACAAAGATCTTCCTGGGTCAAAGGGGAGGGAACACAACCTGCACCACTTGATGGCAGGAGTGTTGACACTGTAAGAAGAACATGTGGGTGGGGTAATAGTGGCTGTCTTTGGACAATACAATATCACAGATACTGTGGAGCCATCAGGAAGGCAGATCTGGGTGAACTAAGGGGAACCCACATATGAAGTTGGGTGCTGGAGAGTTTGCAGAGAGGAAGCTGTCATTTAGACAAGTGGAGGCCTGTAAACTGAGTAACTGAGGCTGCACTGGGGAGGAGGATCAGGTTCCTAGAGACTGGGCTGGGAAGGAGACTGACTTTTCATTATATGCCCTTTTGTACTGTATAGGTTTTTAACACATGTATGCATTATTTTTACTTTTATATTTGAAAAGCCTATTTCTTGTGCAGGTGATTTCCTCTGAAGGGAAAAAAAAAAAAAAAAACTACTTCTGTTCCTTTTCTTAAACTCAAGACAGTTCCATGACCAGAAAGTAGGTTTTCCACACACAGGCCGAATTTTCTGATCCCAGCTGAGAGACCTTCCATTCAATTCTCATATGAACTGGAGTTAGCACAGACCCCACAGGGTAAGAGCAGTCCCAAGAAACTGCCCCACTCCGACACCGACCACAAGTCCTAAGATTTCCAGTTGGCTATAGAATTAGGGTTCCCATGAGCTCCTCCTTGGTTTATTTGCTAGAATGGCTCACGGAGCTCAAGGAAATAGTCTCTGTAGGCATGATGGATTAAGTCATTGACCACTGATGATCAACTCAACCTTTAACCCCCCTGCTGTCCCCAGAGGTTGGGTGGGGTATAGAACTGAAAGTTCCTACCCTGTAATCATAGGTCAGTTGCCCTGGCAACCAGCCCCAAACCAAGGCTGGCTATCCAGGAGCACTAGCCACTTGTCATCTTAATAGCACACAAAAAGACAACACTAGCAAGGCTCCAAGGGTTTTAGAAGCAGACCAGCAAACCAGGGCGAGACCAAATTTATATTTTTTATGTCACAGAGACTCATACAATACTTTAAGGTGGACCATTTATTATCTTTTCACTTAAAAAAATAAGTAGCACTGGCAGTTAATTTTACACAGCAGCCTTAGGACTTACTTTTCTGTAAAATAACTTAAAGAGTTTTTCCCCCACTATAGAAGTAAACACACACTAACAGAAGAAATGTTAGAGAATGAGGCAGAAAGAAAATAGAAACTCACCCATATCCTGATGTGCTCAGATAACTATGACCCCTTTGCTGCATGCATCCTTCCTTCCAGCTTTTTTGGTGTACTTTCACATAAATAGGCCTTTGCTGTATGCACCCATGACATGACAGCAATCGTGCAGACTGCTGGGAGGGCTGGATGATCCCTGCCACTTGGCCCCTCCCTCCCTCCCTCCTTCCTTCCTTTTTTCCTTACTTTTCCCCCAAATTATACTTATTTATGGAGGTGCCATGTGATGTTCCCAAGCACGTGTACATTGTGTGATGTTCAATCAGGGTAAATGTATTTACCGAAATATTTATAATTTCTTTGTGGTGAAGACATTTAAAATCCTTTCTTCTAGCTTTTTCTGAAATGTGACGTACATTATCAGTATCCACAGTCGCCTTAGTGATCATGCAATCTAGGACCTACTTCTCAACTCAGCCTCTTTTGACAGGCATGGCCCTTTCTGTGCTGGTGGTTCTGCTCATGGCTGTGCTGTATGAAGGCATCAAAGTTGGCAAAGCCAAGCTGCTCCACCACACTCTAATGAACCTGCCCACTGCCACCAGCCAGCAGCTCATCTTGGAGACAGACCAGGATTCTGCAGGCACAGGCTCAGACTCATCCCCAGTCAGCAGCACCAACCTCAGGTACAGGCACTGGGCATGGGAATGGGCAGAGTCCTCACGCTCACCCTGAGAGGCAGTCTGGGCAAGAGATCATCAGCCCCAGTGTGCAGAAGGGAACTCCAGGCCCAGGGAAGGACCAGGACTTGTCAGAGTGGTGACACTTAGAAAGGTGAACTAACATAACACTCAGGTGTCCAGATGCCTGAGCCAAAGCTCTATTGATAGCCACTTAGGAGGCTCAGATTACTGCAGGGACTTGTGATCTTCAGAACTCCAGTGCAGGCCCCTGTCTAGCAACATGGGTGGACACCCAATCTTCCCCCAAATCTCACTAGGCTTCCAAACCTAGGAGGGGATCTATAGCTGTCCTGAAGCAAATGGTAAGAATTGGATCAGCAATGTGGCCCACTTGGTGGGGGAGGCAGCTGCTTCTTTCCTCCTTTCCCACCCTGATTGGTTCACTTAGTATCCCCAGTCTGTCCTCATTCCAGCTTAATTGTGCTTAATAAGCCTGCTGCATACCCAACCACTTTACCTGGGTGTCTCAAATCTTCACAACCACCTTGCAAGGGATTTCTTACTCCTGTTTTACTGGTGGAGCTTCAGAGAGCTTCATACATTTGTCCTAGGCCAGAATTAGTACATGGAAGAGTCCCTGCCCTTTCCATTGTCATCCTGCCTCCCACAGTAGGTTTGGGGGGGGCGGGAAATCTGCCTTAATGATGATCTCCTCTTGTCCCTTATCAGGTAAGATGGATGATATATACCATCGTTTTCCCATTTGCCTAGGATGCCAGGAATCTCAGATCTAATTGTGGAGATGTCTTTTTAAAAAGCAATCTCTTTCAAGGAATGGTGGCACATGCCTGTAATCCCAGTTTCCCAGCTATTTGGAAGGTTGAGGCAGGAGAATCACAAGTTCAAGGCCATCCTGGCAACTTAGTGGGACCCTGTCTTGAAATTTTAAAAAAGGCTGGGGATGTAGCTAAGTGGTTAAGTGCCCCCTGGGTTCAATGTGCAGTAATGGGGACAGGGGAATACTTCCTCCTGGTTAAGCATATACTGTAGCTCAAATGCTTTCTACTTCCTGATGTCCACTTTCTGCCTCTAGCTCATTACCAGCATTACCTTGGTTCTCTTTTTTTATCTAGGTGGTTTTTGTGTCACTTTGGCCAGTCTCTAGTCCATGTCATTCAAGTGGTCATTGGCTACTTCATGATGCTGGCTGTAATGTCCTACAACATCTGGATTTTCCTCGGTGTGGTCCTGGGCTCGGCTGTGGGCTACTACCTAGCCTACCCACTTCTCCGCCTGGTTTAGCTGGTGAAGGATTTGCAGGCACTCAGGGCTGGAGGGAGCTGGGCACCTTCTTCCAGGCATTGTACTTCAGTGGATTTTTCTCCTGGTGGCCATTCCTCACCTCCTTTTCAGCTCCTGGCAAATTGGAGCTGAAGCCAGCACTTGTTCCCTGGAGTTCAGAGGCCACTGAAGTCACCCTCTCCTCGGCCAGCCTGCACAGGGCTGGGCCTATTCTGGTGCCTTAAGAAGGCTGCTGTGACCAATGGAGAAAGAAAGCAGAGACTACAGCCTGGGGACAGGGTTGCTGAGCCTAGACACACCCCTGTGACGCAGGAATAAGAATTTCCAAAGATCTTCAGGACAGGGAGGTGGGATCTGGGTGAGGAAGGCCACAGAACCTGGAAACCCTCTCTCTGCTTTGTGCCTTATCGACAGGAGCATCTTTCTGGACTTCTGTCTTTGGGGGACAGAGACCAAAATAGCTCCTTTTTATGACCTTCGTGCCTTTGGAACACATAGTTTGTCCACATGATCCATAGAATAGACTAAGACTTTTACATTTTTCCCACTGAACTCCTGATTAGCACTTTTGCACATTCATACAAAACAAAGTTTTTCAAAGAAATTATTTCATCTTATTCATGATGTAAGGCAGCAACCGCTGAGACCTGCCTCCCTTTCTTGGGGAGAGAATAAGTGACAACTGATTAAAGGCAGCTGGTTTGTCCTCTGGATGGACTGAGCTCCTTCCACCCGACAGCACTGCCCACAGGGGAGGGTGATCTAATGGCCGAGGTGTCTGGGAGCGCCTCATGACCTCAATGTCCCCCCCTTTTAATCTGGATCCTCTTTTATCACTTACTACCCACTCATAGAGACCTGTGGGGAAACAAATTCAGTTACTGAAAATACAGGTTAAGCCTAAGGGGACATCGACTGGATGCAGGGAGCAGTCAAACCAAAGCCAGTGCATTTTTAGTTAGACAAACTCTGGATATTTTAACCTCTTCACTTTACAGAAAAGAAAATCTTTTTATCACTTTACAGGGAGAGAAAATCGCTGCTGTGGACTATAATACCCATGTTCAAGTACCTCACAGGCTAGATGAAAAGATGTCTTAAGCTTTGGGAATTAAAAACAATTACATTTTAATAAATACATATTTTTAAACAGTCAGTGACTCTGTCCTCAGTCCAGCAGTAAGCGCACATACCCCTTGTGACAACAAGGGGGAGGGGGCATTGCAGAGGGAGGGGGCATGGAGCTGGAGGTGCACCCGTATGACTGACTGAGGACTGAAGAAGTCAACTCTGTGCTTAAGAAAATGAGCCCTGAAACACTGTGCCCACAGGTAGGCACCCAGAATGTCAACTTGGTCAACATTCATTTGTTCATGTGACAGACATGAATCAGGTACCTGCTATAAAAAAAGTAACTTTCACCCAGACTGTAAACACTGTGAAAGATTAATAGTACCTTTTCTCTCTGAGGGCAGAAGCAAAAATATAATGACCATTTTTAACTTACAATAAGAAATAATTGTCAGAAATTATGTGCCACATCTAGGGTTGCTTGGTGGCTTCTCCTCGTGCATGTAAGGAACTGGAAGCTGCCCAGGGCCTCAAAGATATATGGTTTTGAATGTCCCCTGCAATGCCAATGGAGCCTTCTCCATCCGTCATTAGGTCCTGACCCTCTAAGGCTCCCTCCCCTAGAAAGAACGTTCTCTGATTTTAAATGTTTATGAGATAAGAATCTGAACTTCATGGGTGATCAGCGAATTCCTCGTTGGATAGTTGTTCTTTTTTTTCTTTTTTTTTTAACTATTTTTTTTATTGGTTGTTCACAACATTACAAAGCTCTTGACATATCATATTTCATACATTAGATTGAAGTGGGTTATGAACTCCCAATTTTTACCCCAAATACAGATTGCAGAATCACATCGGTTACACATCCACATTTTTACATAATGCCCTATTAGTTGTTTTAAACATGGTGATTCATTTTAGGATTTTCTAGCAGAGAGAACTTTTAAAATTTTCCTAATCTTTGCTCTTCAGAGTAATTCAACAGACAATCCGTTGTTCTCATGTCAACGGCCTTTAGAGCCAAGTCACAAAAGGTGACAAGAGTCCCTATTTACAGTTTAAATAGTTTAACAAACACCTACATAAGTGCTTATTATGTGCCTGGCAATGTTTTAAGCACTTTATACAAATATTAGCTCATTTAATTCTCACAGCAAGGTAGAGACTACTTCTGTCTTCATCTTAGAGACAGGGAAGCAGAAACAGAAAGGCATCCAGCTTAAAAGTCGCAGAGCCAGGACTTAGATTCTGAGTTTGTTTCTTCAGTTCAGCTGAGGGGGCTGATGCCAAAAGGGTGGGAGTAACTTGGCCAAGGCACGCAGAACTCATGGGATAAGAAAATACATTCAGACTGTGAAGACTCTATACTCTTTTGTATTTTAACATAACAGGATGGAAATTCTGTCTTAGGAGATCTGGGGTGGGGCCTAGGACATGGATTTCTAACAGGCATCACTGGCTCCTTCCTTTCAATCCAGTGACTATCAGGCAAGGGTGGTGGTGCAGAGGCCAGGCTCTCAAATCAGACAGCCAGGATTTGAATTCTTGTTCTGCAGATCACTACCTGTGCATTTGGACAAGTTACTTTACCTCCCAAAGCCTCCATTTTCTCCTGTAGAAAATGGGGATAACAGCATCTCTACAATGGTTGCTGGATATAAGACCATCTGTGTCAGTTGCTCCCCCACCCAGGGACATCTGTTAAGTAACAACATACTTGGTCTTTATTGCTGCCTCCCAGGCCCCCACATGGCAGATGACCCAGAGTTAGAGTTCAGATTCCTATCTCATAAACACTTAAAATCAGAGAACGTTCTTTCTTAAAATTATTATACTTCTTGAAGACTGTGTGCATGGTCTTTGGAAGATCCCAGAATAAATATAATGACTATAAAGATTTTCTAATTACTCTTTTCTACACTAGAAAAGATCTGAGTTCAGAGGAAATGAAGCTGCTCTTAAAGTGAAGAATCCCTCAGGTGCCATGGACGTTGAAAATGAAGGGTCCTCCCACCTTCTGCATGGCTTCCGAGGTGTAGGACTGAGCCTGCAGGAATAAGCAACAGGCTAGTCCTCAGCAAACCACAATGCCCTGAGCCTCACGCAGCTGGACAGCAGAGTGGTGCTTTTCTTTGAAGGCCTAAAAGTTCTAGGGTTGGGTGCCACAGGGAATATGCCACAGTGCTTTGTGCACATTGACCCAGTCACAGCTCCTAAGATTTCCGGACAGCACCACAAGAAATCCCTTAGAGCCACACTCAGTTTCTCCCCAAGGGCCCAAGTCAAGATTCTTTAGAGATATTTATTTTAGTTTGGTTAATTTCAAATATTCATTGACCTCTTGTATAAGATTAAGGCAGAGATAAAAGATAACATGTCCTTGGACCACAGGCCAGACTGCTAACTGAACTGGGATCAAGATGGTGTGATCTCCTCTTAGTTTTCCAGGGAGACCTCTCCCCAGGTGATAGGTCTTGTTGCTGGGGCACAGTTGAGCCCTGGGAGACAGATGGAAGGGGTTCTTGGATTAGTCTGAGAGTGACTGAAGAGAAGAGAAAGCTTGGAAGAGGGCAGGACTGTTGTAGGTGACTAGCTGGAGCCTCTCAATCCTTCTTCCAACTGGGACTTGAAGGCAGGACCACAGTGGGCTGCTCAAAAATACCAGTTCTGAAAACAGGGTCACGATCCTCTTTGCCAGGTCAGGTGTGGGGCTCAGAAGGTAGCCAGCTAACTCCGACATCTGAACTACTGTCCTCAGATTGCTCACCTTGACCTCACCCTGTGGTTTGCCTAGACCCAGGGCTGGCTGTGCAAAATCATGCTTAGGGAGGAGCTGGAGGAGAAACCTGTGCGCCAGCTTCCTGGGTCTTCATCCCAGCCAGTCATTGTCATCATCATCACCGTCATCTCCAAAAAGGGGTGTTGGGGGTGGGCGTCCCTTCATGCTCTGACAAAACAGGAAAGAGTAGTCAGTCCTCACTTGTCCCTACCCCACTGGACCTCCCACCTGTGAGGTGAAGTGGTCCAGCGTCTGTCCCCAGCTCCGGATTGGTAAGGAGGTGTTCTGGAAAGAGGCCTGTGGCCTGTGAACCCTGACTTCCAGGTAAAGCTGAGACAAGCAGGTAGACAGGGAAGCCAGCTTCCAATAGAGACAAAAAGACCAACTGTATTCGGCTAATTCTGTCATTTATTTGGGAAGCATATGATTTGACAGATTTTTCTCTCATGTGGTAACTTATACATTTTGTGTGAAGAAAAAAGGGTCACAGAGGAAGATGTAAGTGGGAGAAAGAAACAGAAGCAGAGCAGCCCGACGGAGGAGAGAAGATTCAGGAAGATGACGAAAGGTCACACTGGAAAACAAAGTTGTTGTGACTTAAGGTAGCCAGACTGGTTCTGGATGTGACCTTATCCTTTGAAAATGAGATGAGTTTAATTTAGATGCTTGGCTACATTCCCAAGAGATGAAGAAAGCCCAGAAACACAGGATCCAGCTTCCCACAACACTATTCTCCCTCATCCCACTGACCAGGTAAGGGATACAGGAAATTAAGGTGGCTAGCTTGATCTTACATGTCCTCCAAAGGCCCATGTGTTAAAAGCTTAGTCCTCAGCTTGGTGCTATTTGGAGTGTGGAAACTTTAAGACACAGGGTCTAACAAGAGGACTTGGGTGACTGGAAGTGTGCCCCCCTGAAGGGCATAGTGGGACCCATCCCCTCCTTCCTCCTCTCTCTCACTTCCTGACCATGAGTGAATGGTTTTATTCTTCCACATACTCCTGCTATGAGGTGCTGCCTCACTACAGGTCCAAAAGCAATGGGCCAATTGGTCATGAACTAAAACTTCTGAAACTATGAGCTAAAATAAACCTTTTCTTTTTATAAGTTGATTACCTAGGCCTTCGGCTATGGTATCACAAAAGGCCATGGAGGGGGGACTCTCCCCCCTTTTCATGACTTGGGCTCCTGACCTTTTTCCTCTGGGTTAGCAGGGAACAGGTCCCATGGGGGCCGCAGGGATTGATGTTAGAGACAGACATAAATTGAATTGTCTCCACTAATGTCCTTTCTGCTCTGTGAGCTGACCAGGATCTCTTCACAGAAGCCTGGCTAACAGGAGGCAGCGTGGTGTGCAGAGGCCTCTGGGCTAGTCCACTGTCCAGCTACCAACAGACCTTGTGCTTTTCTCTGAGTATCAACTGAGTGATCGCTATAAAAAATCTGACAGTATAAGATTTTTAAATGTAGCTCACCACTTCTGCTTTTTTCTGACTAAGGTTCTGATTCTACATTTCCCAACCACAGAAGATAAGCTATATTATTTAATAATCCTGAGCCTCAGTCTTCTGATCTAGAAGAAATGGGATAAGATGCCTACTTCACTGCATTAGTTGAGGATTAAATGAGACAGTGAAGTAGTGTTCAGAATACATAAGAAATAGCTGCTAACTTGATGATACTTGCATTAATACCAATAACATACTACTAATTTAAAAATTCCAACTATATTTAGGACAGTCCCTTGGAATTTGCATTTTTTCCCTTTTATCCTCCCTCTTTCTTTTTAGGGCAGAATTTATATACAGCATTCTCAGATGAGAATCTAAATCTTGGGCAGAAAACCTATTGGGAGGAAGTAGTGCACTTCCCCTGAAAGCAGGCAGGCAAGACGGAAGTGCTGTGGTATATATGAGCTGGACCCCAGATCTGTCACTGCTTTTTGGCAAAAGGCAAAACCCACTCTGGATGATACACGAGGGGATAAATCTTGCCCCATTCAACCTGTATTTCGGTCCCTAGAAACATGGATTCAATCTGAAGCTCATCTCTGTTCACCATACACATTTCATGGCAGTGAAATTCTCATCACTGCAGTCAAAATGGTCTAGTGAGCACCAGCAGCATTTACCCTATCAAAACAGGGAATGGCAGATGCAGGAGCTGGGCTCCAGTAGTGCTCTGTCAGCAGTTTGCCCTGCCGCCCTTCATTCTCATGCTCCACAGAGCAAGGCCATGTTGTCAGTACTGGCCCACCTGCTGCCTGGGAGTGTTGTGATGACAAAACAGAGCAGCTGGCTGGAAGCAGGCCAGTGAGCAAAGGTGCTCAGAAACAGGTGGCCTTACCCGGAGCCTGGGGATTGAGCCCTCTCTCTAAAATCAACTGCTTTGGTGGCTTTAGGTAAGTCATTCTTTTGAACCCAGTTTGTTTATGAATAAGGATGCCCAAAAAGATAATCTTCAAAGTTCCCCCACCCCCGCAATTCTAAAACATAAATAACATCCTAGCAGATGTAGGGAAACCTGAGGTTCCAGCACATCAGTGCAGGACTAAGCAGCTCAGCTTTCCTCACCTCAAGGGGGACTAATTCCCATGTGGATAGAGTTATGTTCTCGCTCAAGAGTAAAGGGGTATCTGACCGTCCCCACTGTGCTTACCAAGCTGCCCTCTCCGTACCCCAAGCCTGCTCCCACAGGGCCCTACACACAGTGTCCAGGGAGTGGGCCACCAACAAACTCCATTTCTCTTCTCTGAGCCTGTGGGGAAGGGCCCCCAGGTGGTGGTGTGAGGACTTGGCAGGGCCTGGGACTTCCTTACCACCTCATCTTCATCCTCCTCCTCTGGCTGTGCTTTGGGCCTTGGAACTTTCAGAGTTGCCCCTTGAAACAGTTCATCCTCTTCATCCCCAGAGACACTAAAGGAAAATCAAAGCACAGAAGATGTTGCTGTTCCTGCTCCTGGCCATAGTGCCCACCAGCTATGAAGGTCACGGGCTGCAAGGTGAGAATCACTCAGTAACACTTCCTTTCTCCACTTCAGTGTCTCCTCCCATAGCCTATAGTGGCCTCTCTGTAGCCTTCAGCCCTAGTGGACTCCTAAAGCTAATAAATCAGACCACATCGCTCTTCTGCCTAAATACTCTAATGGATTCTCACTATATTTCCATAAAATCCAAACTTTTAACAATAACATAAAATTTCAAGTATGGCCCCTATTTAGTTTTCCAACCTCAGTTTAACACCATACACTTCTTACTTCCTGTGTCTTCTTATACTTCCTTGATTATGGCATGTCCCCTCCCACCACAGGGTCTTGGCATATATGACTCTCTTGGCAATCTCTCCTTCCTGCTCTTGATATGGATGGCTCCTTCCCATTTTCAGATCTCAGTTTAAATGTTACCTTCTCAGAATCCTTCCTAACCACCATATGTAATGTAGAATGTGCCCTCTTTATTCTTTCTTATAATCCCTGTTTCTTTCTCTCTCTTTTTTTTAGCAGTTACCCTACCTTTATAATACGTAAAAACATATCTCTTGGTCTTTGCCAACCAAACTGTAAGCTTTTGAACTCATGAACCACATCCGCCTTGCCTACACACTATCCTCGTGCCCACCACCAAGCCCTGTACATGCTAAGTGTTGTTGAATAAATACACGAATGAATGAATGAATGAGCAAACCAGTCAGTGTCTAAGGAATAAGTTGACGGCCATGGAAAAAACAGACACCACCTCCATTTGTAGCCATTCCCTGACACTGTGCTCAGAGGAACATACCTGGAATGCTGAGAGCCATGGTTGGGTCTGAGGGCTGTTCCTGCAGCTGTAGAGCCTAGTGGCTCCTCAAAGGGATCAGCAGAGCTGGTGACATCCTCATCATCATTGAGCTGTGGAGGCTGGGGCTCTCCTGGGCTTTCAGGCCCTAAGGCTGGTGGGTCCCCCTTTTCTGGGTCTAGAGTCAGTGATGGTCTCCTGGAGGTTTCTTGAGGTGCGCCATCTGGAGCTGTCCCAACATGCACCTTTCCTGCTGTGTTGTCGGACCTGGCTGTCATTGGGCCAGCAACAGGTGTCTCAGAGTTCATAGGTACAGGGCCTGGAGGCTTAGGTGGAATCGAAGTTGGGGGTCCCAGAACTCTGTGAGATGGGGTACAGGCTGGTTTGGGTGGGAGGAAACCATCTTCAATCTCTGAAAGCACCTCTGTAACCGGCTCCCCTTTCCTTCTCTCTACACTGTCCTCAGGTGTGCGGAGAGTCTGTGGAAGCGATGGGGTGACCTCTTCCACTACCTGCTCCGACAGCACCACGGTGGCCTCCTGCCCCTCCGTACTCTCGGATGGGGAACACAGCCCAGACGTGGCTGGGGCTGACCGCTCCTGGGAGGGTCGAAGAGGCCGCTCATCTTCCTCACTGCTGCTGTCTTCCTTCTCTCGCTCCTGCTGGCTCAACAGCTGTAAAGTCACCATCTGTTCAAAACCCGAGGGGGAGGAGATGGTCACTAAAAGGAAAATAGTAGGCACTACACATCCTCAGTCCTCATTAACACAGATGTCACCTAGTTCAAATGACTCTGCCTCTCTAAGTCAGAAGGGGCTGGACACATCCATCCAGGCACAATCGCTCCAGGCATCCCCTTTCCTGGTCAACAATCTTGACTGAATTTTTAGTCATGATCTCATAGAAGGTAGTTAATCAACAAAACCTCCACTCCAATGGAACAGTCACCAGCAGGACAGCTGTACCTTGATTGTATTCATGATGGTCCCCAGAATGGTCCTGCCATCGTAAGATTCCTCCAGCTCAAACTCACCCCGCAATGACTGGAACACCTGGTTCATAATCTTCTTGACCTGTTTGGAAATCAAACATACGTGCTGCCAAAACCAAGTCATTAAGAGATACATTAGAATCCCAGAGAGGTGTTTTGAAGGCTCAAATGAAGCCATCTTAGAACAGTACAGAGGAACACAGCTGGTCGTGAATGGAGACTTTGAGAGCTACGGCCAAGGAGAGGACACTATCAAATATGACAGAAGGACCAGCCGTGAGAGTTCCCTACCGAGGGCAGGCAAACTATGGCCTGCCTGAGACTGTTTAACGAGCACTTACTGATACCTCTCTCCCACCCTGAGCCCCACAGAGAAATGCCATGGGCTGCAAATATGAGTGGCTAATGGCTACTGGGCACACTCCCACCCTCTGTTCTGTGATTTGGAGGCACTTCCCATAGCCATCAGTGTCAAAAGGACAAGGCCTTTAGAGTTTGCCATCAGGGTGATAAATTCTAAAGAGTTAATTTTTAAATCAGACAAGTAGTGTACCACTAAAGTTAGAAGAAAGCTACCAAAATAACTTGTTAGTCACAAGCTTTCTGAATGCCTGCTATGCACATCTGATTCCTTAATATGACACAGTCTCTGCTTCTCTGAAATACCAGCTCACCTTCTCTGAGGGGTCAGCAGCAGCTTCAACCCCAGACATCTGGGACTTGTTCTTCTCCTGTTCCTTGATGTGCTGTTCATTTTGCTCTGTGAGGGCTGTGACTTGGGCCTGGAGGGCTAAGCACTGCAAAATGAACAGACTGCAGCTGTGGCCTTGGGCTACTATGTGAAAGTCAGGAAACACAAGAAGAGGTGAACCATCCAAAGCACCATGTCTTCACCTTACATAGGTCTGCTGGGAGCACCCCTGTCCCCTGCCACCCTACCCCCCATTTACTGATGCAGAGCATTTTATTTCTTTATCACTCAACTCATAATTTTCCCAGCAAGGTCAACTGACCTGTTCCTAATCAAGTCAAAGAATATAACGGAAACAGAGAGGAGGTGGTAATAACTCCAGGCATATACACATAAACTCTCAGCATTAGGAACAGCCTATTCACCCACAGGATGGCCTCCAAAATCTCTTGAGTCAAAGGCTTTAGACCAGATACTCAAGGGAAAAAAACTGACCTCCAGATGGGGACTTTCAGACCATGACCCTAAGCCATCTCTCTCGTTTTCTTGGCTTGCAATCCCATCTCGGTGCCTTTGCCCAGGATGTCCCGCTTCCTTCTCTGCCTTACCACATCTAATAGTTCTTGGCTCTACTCAAAGGTCTTCTCCTCTGGAAAGCCTGCCAGATCCCCAAGCTCTTCCTCTTCTGGGCCTCATGACACTTAATGCATGTCTTTGTTTCTCTACCTTGACTATGAGAGTCTTGAGGGTAAAATTCTTTGCATGCCCTTTCTCTAACATAGTGGCTATGACACAACTGATACTCAATAAATATTTGCTTTAAAAAAATGAAGGATCAAATAATAATGGGAAACATATTTTAGAACACTAGTGCTGTTTTTCTTTTTTCAGATCACTAACCTGTCACCTCATATAAGTATGTAAAAAATAACTGGAAAACTGGAGAGTTACCCTCACATGGTTTTGTTTTCTATTAATATCCAAAAGGACTGACAGGACTTAAAAGCCTGCTGGCCTCCAGTTAACTGAGCTGCTTCAGCGCCCTGGCCCAGGGAAAGCAGCTACCTTTTCTTGAAGGTGTGTTAGCTTCTGCTGGTGGGCATCCCTCTGTGCGCACACTTCCTGGTACTGCTGCAGGTGCTCTTCCTTTGCAGAGGCCAACAGATGCTCACACTTTGCTTCCCACTGGGTTTGTAGATCAGCCTGCAGAGACAGCTGCCAAGAAAAAGCAATGACCAAGCCCTGGAGGTCCCCACTGAATCAAGGGAAGTCCATCCTCCATAAAGTTAAAGACTACACCAAATAGACTTCATCAAGAAACAACTGTTTGAGGGGCTGGGGATGTGGCTCAAGCGGTAGCGCGCTCGCCTGGCATGCGTGCGGCCCTGGTTGGATCCTCAGCACTACATACCAACAAAGATGTTGTGTCCGCCGAGAACTAAAAAATAAATATTAAA